TCAAACGACATCTGACCGTGGAGCAGATGGCAAGGTAGTCATCCTGGGGGCTGCATTTTGGTGGTGAACGCGTTTCCTATTACGGAACACGGTGTTTAAGAATACAACATTACGCACGCGAACGGCACGCGAATACGGAACGTCCCGTAACCGACCATCAGATAACCCTTGCCCTCCCGTGACCAAACAACCGCCCACACCCAATGCAACCCTCACGCAAGATGCGACTGTCAATTCCTGCGGATGTCTGCACATCCGACCTTTTCACACATCCGCTTATAACCTTCGGATCCCAGCGAGTCGGATATGCGACCCTGTACGGTACACCGTGCAGTTCCACGCAGAGTCTATTGCTGCGTACACAGATTTGTCTGAGAGGGAGGGATGTAAAGTGTTTAACCGACTCTGTTATGTCCCCGTATTATTCTGTTGTGCTGTTCGCTCTGAAGTTGAATTCCTCTGCCATTTGCCAACCCCAGCTTGGGCTGGACACACCTGCGATTCAAAGATTGAGAGCTCACATCAGATGTCCATGTCGATTAGTTATATCGGGTGCCACAGCATGTCCATCACACGGGTGATGTGTCAGACTCGGTACGCAATTCGCACACAAACCTGCAGCACACAAGTCGAACAACTCATGAGTACAGACGTAGGCACGACAATACGTCGCACAGAAACTCCAACCACGTACTGCATACGGTCAATGAGCACGCACGTGATGAATGAACACACAGCAACATCACAGGCCAGAAAGTAGAACAAGTACACCACCACAATAACAACACAGTACACAGAATATGCCACTGTACACACAGTACAGCATATGGCCAAGGAGTGGAGTACACACGTAACATTGTAGTGAGGATGTCAAATACGAGACGACACACAGTAGCAACACAGTACACAAACCAAACTACACTGTGCTGTAGTCAGTACACACAATGCAATATAGAGTGTTACACGAGCAGGACGTCACACTGAGAGTACACAAGGTACGTGTACATAATATTGTGTTAGCATACTTAAATACAGAGCGCACACACAGAAGTGTACATTATTTTGTAAGTACTGTACTCCCAGAATATCAGTAAGCACAAAAATAGTACAGATGGGAGTACACACTTTCTAGAGTAACAGACGCATCACAAGACATTATATTGAGTACACAGTACACAACAGTACACAGTCGAGCAATAATTACACTTTACATGAATCAGTATTGAGTTATAGTACAGCACACATCACACGGTGAACTCACAGACAACAGCAGTGTACATTCACATGGTACAATGCATCCGAGAGAGCACACACAGTACGAAACGTTGTCAGTGAGTACACAGTACAGGACATTATACCGCACATCAATGTGTACACATAGTACACCACACTGCAGTGTGTACACACAGTACACACACTGTAGTGTGTACACACAGTACACACACTGTAGTGTGTACACACAGTACACACGCTGTAGTGAGTACACACAGTACACACGCTGTAGTGAGTACACACAGTACACACACTGTAGTGTGTACACACAGTACACACACTGTAGTGTGTACACACAGTACACACACTGTAGTGTACACACAGTACACACACTGTAGTGTACACACAGTACACACACTGTAGTGAGTAAACACAGTACACTGTAGTGAGTACACACAGTACACACACTGTAGTGAGTACACACAGTACACACACTGTAGTGAGTACACACTGTACACACACTGTAGTGAGTACACACAGTACACACACTGTAGTGAGTACACACAGTACACACACTGTAGTGAGTACACACTGTACACACACTGTAGCGAGTACACACTGTACACACACTGTAGCGAGTACACACTGTACACACACTGTAGTGAGTACACACAGTACACACACCGTAGTGAGTACACAGTACACACACTGTAGTGAGTACACACAGCACACACTGTAGTGAGTACACACAGTACACACACTGTAGTGAGTACACACAGTACACACACTGTAGTGAGTACACACAGGACACACACTGTAGTGAGTACACACAGTACACACACTGTAGTGAGTACACACAGTACACACACTGTAGTGAGTACACACAGTACACACACTGTAGTGAGTACACACAGTACACACACTGTAGCGAGTACACACAGTACACACACTGTAGTGAGTACACACAGTACACACACTGTAGTGAGTACACACAGTACACACACTGTAGTGAGTACACACAGTACACTGTAGTGAGTACACACAGTACACACACTGTAGTGAGTACACACAGTACACACACTGTAGTGAGTACACACAGCACACACACTGTAGTGAGTACACACAGCACACACACTGTAGTGAGTACACACAGCACACACACTGTAGTGAGTACACACAGCACACACACTGTAGTGAGTACACACAGCACACACACTGTAGTGAGTACACACAGCACACACACTGTAGTGAGTACACACAGTACACACACTGTAGTGAGTACACACAGTACACACACTGTAGTGTGTACACAAAGCACACACACTGTAGTGAGTACACACAGCACACACACTGTAGTGAGTACACACAGCACACACACTGTAGTGAGAACACACAGTACAAACACTGTAGTGAGTACACACAGTACACACACTGTAGTGTGTACACACAGTACACACACTGTAGTGTGTACACACAGTACACACACTGTAGTGTGTACACACAGTACACACACTGTAGTGTGTACACACAGTACACACACTGTAGTGAGTACACACAGTACACACACTGTAGTGAGTACACACAGTACACACACTGTAGTGAGTACACACAGTACACACACTGTAGTGAGTACACACAGTACACACACTGTAGTGAGTACACACAGTACACACACTGTAGTGAGTACACACAGTATACACACTGTAGTGAGTACACACACACACTGTAGTGAGTACACACAGTACACACACTGTAGTGAGTACACACAGTACACACACTGTAGTAAGTACACAGTACACACACTGTAGTGTGTACACACAGTACACACACTGTAGTGAGTACACACAGTACACACACTGTAGCGAGTACACACAGTACACACACTGTAGTGAGTACACACAGTACACACACTGTAGTGAGTACACACACACACTGTAGTGAGTACACACAGTACACACACTGTAGTGAGTACACACAGTACACTGTAGTGAGTACACACAGTACACTGTAGTGTGTACACACAGTACACACACTGTAGTGAGTACACACAGTACACACACTGTAGTGAGTACACACAGTACACACACTGTAGTGAGTACACACAGTACACACACTGTAGTGAGTACACACAGTACACACACTGTAGTGAGTACACACAGTACACACACTGTAGTGAGTACACACAGTACACACACTGTAGTGAGTACACACAGTACACACACTGTAGTGAGTACACACAGTACACACACTGTAGTAAGTACACACAGTACACACACTGTAGTGAGTACACACAGTACACACACTGTAGTGAGTACACACAGTACACACACTGTAGTGAGTACACACAGTACAATGTAGTGAGTACACACAGTACACACACTGTAGTGTGTACACACAGTACACACACTGTAGTGAGTACACACAGTACACACACTGTAGTGAGTACACACAGTACACACACTGTAGTGAGTACACACAGTACACTGTAGTGAGTACACACAGTACACTGTAGTGAGTACACACAGTACACACACTGTACTGTGTACACACACTGTACTGTGTACACACAGTACACTGTAGTGAGTACACAGTACACTGTAGTGAGTACACACAGTACACACACTGTAGTGTGTACACACAGTACACACACTGTAGTGAGTACACACAGTACACACACTGTAGTGAGTACACACAGTACACTGTAGTGAGTACACACAGTACACACACTGTAGTGAGTACACACAGTACACACACTGTAGTGAGTACACACAGTACACACACTGTAGTGTGTACACAGTACACTGTAGTGAGTACACACAGTACACTGTAGTGAGTACACACAGTACACACACTGTAGTGAGTACGCACAGTACACTGTAGTGAGTACACACAGTACACACACTGTAGTGAGTACACACAGTAAACACACTGTAGTGAGTACACACAGTACACACACTGTAGTGAGTACACACAGTACACACACTGTAGTGAGTACACACAGTACACACACTGTAGTGTGTACACACAGTACACTGTAGTGAGTACACACAGTACACACACTGTAGTGAGTACACACAGTACACACACTGTAGTGAGTACACACAGTACACACACTGTAGTGAGTACACACAGTACACACACTGTAGTGAGTACACACAGTACACTGTAGTGAGTACACACAGTACACACACTGTAGTGTGTACACACAGTACACACACTGTAGTGAGTACACACAGTACACACACTGTAGTGAGTACACACAGTACACACACTGTAGTGAGTACACACAGTACACTGTAGTGAGTACACACAGTACACACACTGTAGTGTGTACACACAGTACACACATTGTAGTGAGTACACACACACACTGTAGTGAGTACACACACTGTAGTGAGTACACACAGTACACACACTGTAGTGAGTACACACACAGTACACTGTAGTAAGTACACACATCACACTGTAGTGAGTACACACAGTACACACACTGTAGTGAGTACACACAGTACACACACTGTAGTGTGTACACACAGTACACACACTGTAGTGAGTACACACACACACTGTAGTGAGTACACACACACACTGTAGTGAGTACACACAGTACACACACTGTAGTGAGTACACGCACACCACACTGTAGTGAGTACACACAATACACTGTAGTGAGTACACACACACACACTGTAGTGAGTACACAGTACAGCAGGCAGCAACACGACTCACACCACCCATCATCACCGCAGTCTAGACGGGGACTAAACCCTCTCTCGCCATGCACGTACAAATTTGGATTTCCTGTGGTCGCCCTCGTCTCCTGGAGCTCCACCACCACCTCCACCTCCTCCTCCTCCACCACCTCCACCTCCTTTCTTCTTTCCTTTGTCCCGGCGGCTTGGTGAATCTCCCCGTGCGTGTGGCGGGATCTCCATGCTGGCCCCGGGGGTCAGGTCACGGGCGAGGTCAGGGGTCAGGTCACAGGTCAGGCCGAGGTCAGGGTCCGGGTCTTGCCCCCCCACCACCTCGAGGCGTCGCTCACTCCGACTCGATCCTCTGTCAGTGGCGGCAGTAACGTGACGACGATGATGATCGAGGCGACATCGTCTGGTCGGCAATAGTCGCCTCCTCCGCCTCCTCCTCTCTCGTTCGCAGACGACGCAGACGACGGTCCACAGGAGGTCTTCAACGAAGCCGCCGCGAGGTCTTGTTCGAGACGCCTCTTCGGCGACGATGTTGATTATGTTGTTGATGAGCGATGAGGGTGAGCGGTGAGGATGAGCGAGTAAGAAGTGAGTGGGTTAAACCACGGCTCCGCCCGAAACCCAGCCCAAGCCGCCCTTTCTCCCTCCGGCCTCGCTGCTGATGCTGCTGCTTCTCCTACTGCTGCTGCTGCTTCTTCGTCTCCTCCTCCTGCTGCAGAAGCTGTAAATGGAGACAGGAGAGGAGAGACAGACAGAGAAGGAGGCCTCTCTCTGCCTTTCTCTTCTGTGGTATCGTCTCAGCAGCAGCGGCGGCGGCGGCAGTGGTGGTGGCGCTGCTTCACCGCCATCGCGTTCAGTTCACGTGGAGTCCGCGGGGCCGCCTCGCGCGGCAAATTCTTTGGTTGTCGGATTCAATTCCTCGCGCAGACGCGTGCGGGCGTCCGTGCGGGCGGGCGAATTTTTTAAATCCTTTATATTAAGTTCACTTGCTTGCTTGCGTGCTTGCTTGCTTACGACCGTGCAAATCTTTCGGTCATTTTTAAACCCACTTCCCATGATCCAATCGAGCTGACATTTTGCACACAGACTCGTTGTGCGTGACAATTAATTTTCGTGAAATTTTTTTTCCAAAATTTTACACTGTTTAGAGAATTTTTTTTTTAATTACCAATTGCTTAATGGTGGCAGACAATCATCTGACCCATAGGTGGCAGCCATCTCAAGCCAGAGGACGAGAGGACTCTAGCCGCCACGCATATAAAGGATTTATAGTGAAAAACGTTGTTTTTACTGGTTATACTTATTTTATGTTTTATTTAACGGTGTTGTGTTCTCGATGGCAGCAGTCTGGTTCGGGAGATAAATGTCGACGAGAGAGTGAGTGGGCTTCGGAGTTTTGTAAATCGCTCCCTTTGAATGATCGCGGACGACATCAGTGGTTTATTACTATACATAGACTTACTGCATTGCCCATAGACTTGCATTGGCAATATAATTGTATTGAATGTAAACTCGCATTGCTCATAGACTAACATTGTCTTTAGACTAGCATTTCATCAAGACTAACTTTGTCCATAGACTAGCATTGCCCGTAGACTAACATTGTCCATAGACTTACATTGCCCATTCACTAATATTGCCCATAGGGGCCGTCCATAAATGACGTCACGCACCTAGGAGGGGGGGGTCATACATTTGTGATGATGTGTGACGAGGGGGGGGGGTGAGAAATGTGACGTCACATCAAAATGTGCAACTTTAAATAAATATAGAATTGTTATAACAACACTAATTTTGATTAATTTTCATTATTAACTATTTGATTATTTAAATTTACTAAGGTCACCTTTAATTTATTCCATGAAGGAGCATTTTGCTTCTCCGTGGGAGAATGGAGAAGCATCAATTTAGATTTTTTTAAATGATTTTTATTAAACATTTTGATTCTAATGATTCTACCAGGGCTTTTCATTCTGTGGAATGAATATGACATGATTGTTATAATTGTACTCTCAATTTTGCTTCTTTTTACTACAAAGTTAAAAGTATTTTTTGTAGTTATAATTACTTTTAATATTTTATAATTAAAAGATAATTTCAATATAATATTCTGAACATCCGCAGTTTTAGTTAGACGTTGAATATTTGCAAGTGAATTTTATGCTAAATTTAAGCTTTCCAATGCCTCCTTTTTGATGCGTGTTATCTCCCTGCAACATCAGAGTGCAGCGCCACATTAAATAAGCACTACAATGACAATAGTTTAAAGCGATTTGAAGCATGTTTTATTTTCAAAATGGAAATATGTTTTTGGGGGTGGCAGAGCTTTATGACGGCATATTTGAGGGGGGTCTGACTTTTTGTGACGCCGTGTAACGAGGGGGGGAGGGGGGGTCAAAAATCGTCCAAATTCGCGTGACGTCATTTATGGACGGCCCCATAGACTTACATTGCCCATACACTAACATTGTCCATACACTAACATTGTCCATAGACTTGCACTGCCCATATACAAACATTGTCTATAGACTTACATTGCCCATTCACTAACATCGCCCATATATTTACATTGCCCATAGACTAACATTGCCCACGGACTATTCTAGAATTGCGTATGGCAGCAATATGTTCAGGAAGTCGATGGCGATGTCTAGGGTGTGCTGCTCGCCACAGCGAGAGGGCTTCAGTGGGGAGAGTTTGTGTCGCTTTGCTGTTCCTCCGCCACAGTGGGCTTACTCTAGGGTCAGTAGTTTGCGTTCCATAGCTATAATCGCCCAATTTTTCGATTTAAAGCTTTCGTGACTGCAGGAATTCATCTTCTTGGTTCTTTCGGTAAAGTCACGTAGAAGGGAAATAATAAAATAATAAAAATAAAACATAATAAAATAATTATCATTCAGACGCTGTCTTTCCGACAGACCTGTTCTTCACCTGAGGACTGCTGCTTGCGTTGTGGCCGAAACGTCGTGAGAATTATTTTATTACGTTTTATTTGTATTATTTTATTATTTCCCTTCTACGTGACTTTACCGAAAGAACCAAGAAGATGAATTGCCCAATTGTTTAAGACATTTGTATACACTGTCCTAACAATGTGTCCTGAAAAGAAAACAAACATGTAATAGGCGACGTTTCGGTCAATAGGCCTTCTTCACACTCACATATCTGTCAAACCCTTATCAGTGCCCTACCTAATTACAGACAAATTCAGGCCGTATTGGTCACCCCGTGCCCTTATAAATCTCAGCGTTCATCCTACAAAGTCCCATCAGAAGGGAGAAACACAAACAAATAGACGCGATTTGCTGTTTTTGCCCATATTGAAACGGCTGTACTCCGTATGGACCTGAAATCTCAATTTCCCTGTACAAGAATACGGGTAGACCGTGTGGGCTGACAGGTATGCACTCATGTGCTATGAAGAAGGAGCATTCCCCTAAACGTCGCCTATTATATATATTTAAAATTCTCAGGCCAGAGTGTTATCGACAGATGTATTGAGTTTGTCCTCTGTGTACATTAGTAGGGTTACACTCATGGTGATTTTGTTACATGACAGAGAACCGCGTGGGAAAAACCCATAAATCTCCGAAAATACCGGCTTGTGGCACACGTGGTAATAATGCCAGCCAGTAAACACGACGTTTTAACGAAGGGATGAAGCCACTCAGGGTTGCGATTTCCGCATGGAAAATGCGGAAGGAGGGTTCAAATGTTCCCGCATTTTTGCTAAAGTCAACCGCAAACGGTGGAAAGACTACTCCTATGACCGCGCGCTTTTAACAACACGTTAATGCGTTCTATTGGAAAGGATACATGCAAGGCCCAGCATCACGTAGAGCTTTGAGTTACTGATTGGAATGAATATATGATTTCCGCATTTCCGCACAAGAACCACATACTTTATTCAAATGCGGAGCCGTGATTACGAGCACATGTACATGATGTATCCTTTCCAATAGAACGCATTAACGTGTTGTTAAAAGCGCGCGGTCATAGGAGTAGTCTTTCCACCGTTTGCGGTTGACTTTAGCAAAAATGCGGGAAAATTTGAACCCTCCTTCCGCATTTTCCATGCGGAAATCGCAACCCTGAAGCCACTGTGATAGTCAGCACACAGGGCCTGCGATATAGAGGTCACAGTTTGGATTCCATCTCCCGGAACGGCAGGTGAATCAAGGGGGTCCATATTCTTGGGTTTTTTTCGGCAAAGTCACGTAGGTAAAAAATGTAAACTAAAATTAATAAAAGTAAAATAAAAATCACGACGTTTCAGAGGCAACACAAGCTTCCGTCTTCAGGTGGAACCGTCACAGCACGATAGCTGTATCAAGCTATCGTGCAGCAATCGTGCTGTGACGGTTCCATCTGAAGACGGAAGCTTGTGTTGCCTCCGAAACGTCGTGATTTTTATTTTACTTTTAGTAATTTTAGTTTACATTTTTTTCCTACGTGACTTTACCGAAAAACCCCAAGAATATGAATCCTTGCAGTCACGAAAGCTTCAAATCTAGGGGTCCATATTCTTCACCCGGAATGCGTGCAATCTCGTCAGATCTCGGAAGCTCAGCTGGTCTGAGCCTGGTTCGTGCTTCGATGGTTGACTTGCATCCCACTGGGATTTTTGGCACACAGCGTTGGTGTACGGTGCTTTATCTGGAAGACTTTGCAGATTTTTCCTGGATTTTTCTGTTTGCGCATAGTCACTTTAAGATGTTTTCTTGTTCATGTTTATGTTTTTTGTTCGCTGTGGTTAAACCCGATTCAAGAGCCGAATGGCTCACAGGGCTATACCAAATAAATGAAATGAAACTAATCACCACCATGCACAGACAATTGGACCTAGACTGGGGATACTCGGTGGACGTCGTAATTAACTGTTGGATTGTACTCCTATGCTCCCACGTCTATGCTCTCCCCACCTTCACAACCCGTACTTACCAGAGTGATACATTATGGCCAAATAACCCCCACGTACGGCTTGGGGAGGCCCTCATCCAGCAGTGGATTGACAATTATCAGGACTGTACGTGCACTGTTTATCGTCGCGATGTTTACACTCAATTTTAAGGCTGCATGGGCTAGAACAAGGCCAGGATTGACTGATTCGCATAATCACCACCGGTGTTGTCCGTCGCCGGGGGGAATCGAACTCGGGTCTCTGCAAGGTTCGTAGCGCAGTGCGCTAACCACTGCGCCACCACTCCGCATTCACACACGCGCGCACACCTGGGGGGGGGGGGGAGTGCCGTGGGTCCCGACGTCACCAGCAATGCCGACACACCACATCTGCCAATCACACGCCAGCCAGATAAAAATAGATGTCAGCTTCTTGTGTGTTGTATTGTCCAAACGTTACGTACATTAAGTGATGTAGACAACACACATTGTGTACTATTGTGTTACGTGATGCGATATACACATTTCACCATGATGATCGCTACAAAGTATGACCTGTGTTTTGATTTAGTGTGCTGATCTTAAAGGTGCATTGAAAAATTACAATACTCCGATTGATGCTCCTGCTGTTGTGGAGTGACTCATGCAGCCAGCTATGGCTGCAGGGTTTTGGTAGTACATGTTGTTTATGCCATTTATTGTTAAAATTCCGTCAGTTCCTATGATTGCTTTTTCATTGCCTTCATGGCTTTATTTTGGTGATTTCGAAAAGTGTATTGGTTTAGCCATGTTTGTGTTGTTGTAGTACAGAGTTAGACTGATGGCCTTAATCTAAGTTGTCTTGTGGTTGTTGTTGTTGTTTGACTTGCATCCCACTGGGATTTTTGCACACAGCGTTGGTGTACGGTGTTTTTTTCTGCAATATTTTTGCTGTCTTTTCTTGGATTTTCTCTTTGCACTTAGTCACATATTCACTT